ACACTGTCTACGTCAGGCCCACATTGGAAAAGGCATCAAATGGTGAAACACGTAAAGAAATTAGAGAAAGTTTGAAGGTTCCCTACAACACTAGTCCCAGTGCTCAGGGGTATGTCCTACAAGAAGAGAGTAAGGAAAATCTACAGTACGGAACTAGAGGACAGGACACCTCACTCAACGAAAAGGATCTTGGGTGTGAGTATAATACGGAGCACATCTCCTGAAGCACATATCAACCATATAACTGCTGCAGCATATGGGCACCTAGTAAACCTGAGAATAGCGTTCCGATACATCATTATGGAATCGTTCAAGACTCTGTACACCGTGTACGTCAGGCCCATACTGGAGTATGCAGCACCAGTTTGGAACCCACACCTGGTAAGTACGTCAAGAAATTAGAGAAAGTACAAAGGTTTGCAACAAGGATAGTTCCAGAGAAAAAGGGAATGTCCTACAAAGAAAGGTTAAGTGAAAGCGGCCTGACGACTCTGGAGGACAGAAGGGTTAGGAAAGACATGATAACGACATACGAAATACTGCGAGGAATTGACAAGGTAGACAGAGACAAGATGTTCCAGAGACGGAACACAGAAACAAGGGGTCACTCTTGGAAGTTGAAGACTTAGATGAGTCACAGGGAAGTTAGGAAGCATTTCTTCAGTCATAGAGTAGTCAGGAAGTGGAACAGACTGGCGAGTGATGTAGTGGAGGCGGGAACCATACATAGCTTTAAGAAGAGGTATGATAACGCTCATGGAGCAGGGAGAGAGAGAACCTAGTAGCGTTCAGTGAAGAGGCGAGGCCAGGAGCTGAATCTCGACCCCTACAACTACAATTAGGTGAGTACAATTAGGTGAATACACACACACACACCACACACACACACACACACACACACACACACACACACACACACACACACACACACACACACACACACACACATACACACACTCACACACACTCACACACATCACACACACACACACACACACACACACACACACCACACACACACACACACACACAACACACACACACACATACACACACACACACACACACACACACACACACACACACACACACACACACACGCACACACACACACACACACACACACACACACACACACACACACACACACACACACACACACACACACACACACACACACACACACACACACACACACACACACACACACACACACACACACACACACACACACACACACACGCACGCACACACACACACACATGTCACTCACCTGTTTGCAGGCTGGCAACGTAGTATATGTTAAATCTTGCAGGTATATTGGTGTAGACATACGCTTCAATAAATCCATCATACCACAAATAAATATGTAATGTAAATATAGACTGAACGATAAAGTTGGCCACAACTCCAAATATGACGATAATGTAAGAATAGTGAGAATGATATACATATCCTTTATTAGATCATGTTAATATTGACTGTGTTGCGCTCATGTTAACATTGTGTCGCGCTCATGTTAATATTGATTGTGTTGTACTCATATTGATATTGACTGTGTTGTATTCATGTTAATATTGATTGTGTTGTATTCATGTTAATATTGACTGTGTTGCGCTCATGTTAATATTGATTGTGTTGTACTCATGTTAATATTGATTGTGTTGTATTCATGTTAATATTGATTGTGTTGCGCTCATGTTAGGATTGCTTGTGTTGCGCTCATGTTAATATTGATTGTGTTGTCATCATGTTAATATTGATTGTGTTGTACTCATGTTAATATTGACTGTGTTGCGCTCATGTTAACATTGTGTCGCGCTCATGTTAATATTGATTGTGTTGTACTCATGTTAATATTGACTGTGTTGTATTCATGTTAATATTGATTGTGCTGTACTCATGTTAATATTGACTGTGTTGTATTCATGTTAATATTGACTGTGTTGCGCTCATGTTAATATTGATTGTGTTGTACTCATGTTAATATTGATTGTGTTGTATTCATGTTAATATTGATTTTGTTGTACTCATGTTAATATTGATTGTGTTGTATTCATGTAATATTGACTGTGTTGCTCTCATGTTAATATTGATTGTGCTGTACTCATGTTAATATTGATTGTGCTGTACTCATGTTAATATTGATTGTGCTGTACTCATGTTAATATTGATTGTGTTGCGCTCATGTTAGGATTGCTTGTGTTGCGCTCATGTTAATATTGATTGTGTTGTCATCATGTTAATATTGATTGTGTTGTACTCATGTTAATATTGACTGTGTTGCGCTCATGTTAGCAGTGCTTGTGTTTCACTCATGTTAATATTGACTGTGTTGTCATCATGTTAATATTGATTGTGTTGTACTTATGTTAATATTGATTGTGTTGTACTCATGTTAATATTGACTGTGTTGAGCTCATGTTAACATTGATTGTGTTGCGCTTATGTTAATATTGACTGTATGGCGCTCATGTTAATATTGAACAAGGAAAATTTTCTCCGGCCTTTGGTTAAGAAACGACCCGGACTCTGTTACTACAGTTCTTACTGAATGTCTAGAAATATTCAGAGATAAAAATGGGTTATAAAAATGCGATAATATCAAGTTTTACAACAACAGAATTTCAGCCTTCCATGGAAGTTTTATTCACATAACAACGAGAGCGTCTACGAACAAGTTCAACATTTATAATCCCTTCCTTTAATCACTTGCAGTGGCCAACTGATCAATCAATTTATCGCATAACTGTTAGTAAAAATATATCAAAAATTACATACATTGATAGATTTAAGCAGGAATCCACAGTCAGTGCTACATTAGCTCTTGTTACCATCTTCCTATATAAAAACGATAGGAGTTATGTTGAACGAGGCATAAGAATTAACAACTGGGCATCTACACTGCACATTGAGTTGTTTGGCATTATTATGCTGTAGTGAAGGCTCTTGACTCTTATAATAACTGTAACAACCTGCTCATCGCAGTAGCCAGATACAGATATTCGAAAATCAGAGGACACGAAATATATAATTTTCATTGATTCCATTATATACTGAATTACTCTTTCATGATAAAGTTAATTAAGTTAGCCAAAGTACCCTGAAGAAACATGTGGAATATAATTTTGGTATGTATCTGTCTAGCATTATGAATAATAATAAGATAGAAATATATAGTGAAAATGTATGTCATACAACTGCAGTTAGAAACCTGAGTAGATCTATTACTCACAAGATCTATTACTCACTGGTGTATGACTGACAGTATTTATGCAGTAAGGCAATGGAAAAATTAAGAAAGCAAAACAAGGATAATATACACAGTACGCCGTGCTAGTATTTGCTTTTCTAAGAATAAAAGACCCTGAAATACATTGTCTAAACAAAACTCTGATGCGTTATTTAATTCATCTATTCAAGTCGCGTATTTGTTTTCGTTGATACCAGTGATTAAATTTCTGACATTTTCCTTGATGTACAGAGTGTTACAACTCCCACTTGGGGTTTCGTAAACTTCAGTATCTGCTGTTTGGTTGTGATTGTTGTCTTAAATAGTTGTGGAGGTTGTGACAGTTACTTTAATGTCGATTTGGCCAATCATTTTATGATGCAAGTGACTATACTAGAGTGAAGACTAGATGCCAATCAGGATTTTGTATGGAACTTAGAATATAATATATCTGGATATTACAATTTTCTGAGGATTTGTTTGACAGTTTTACACTTCTAGGAAATTGAAGCTTCAAATTCTATAAGATCGTAAGAAAAAATGCAATTAAGATACCTCTCTTTCTCTTATTCAGCGTCTTCTTTCGTGGAAACAGAATTTATAGTTTAAATGTTCGGCAAAACTAGTGTAAAACTATCAAAAATATCTTGAGAAAACTACAGTTCTCTTCATATTTTATTCTACATTGTAAACACAGAACCAACAAAAATTCCTGAGTATTCCTAAAACTGGCAGAAAAAATATTTGGTGATCGCACTACTATTATCGCTTCCAACATCATAGAAATTTTGAGTCAGACCAACACTAAGCTCTTACTACCTGCACAACCAACCTATCTCAACCACTGTTTACGACACTGTAAGACACAAATACACCAATCAGATCCAGACGGTGGAGGATGTAGCACACAAAACTGCAGAAATCAAAGCACTCGCATCAACAAAAATAAATACGTGACCTGAGCCGATAAACTGAAGAGTACATGTTTCCAAACAGGGACCTCACACAACCATTTGATGAGAATCTCTGATGCAAAATAAGACATAAGAGGTGACAAGAGAAGAGAGACACACATAAAATATTATGTTATGATATTGTGTTTGTTAATTGTTTGTTAATATTCTTTTATAATGGTGCCATCATTATAAGTGAAGCACCAGTGGAGTCCAGGACATTTGAATACTAAATATAAAATAATGTTTCTGATGTTCATCTTTATACTTTACTATAGATTTAAAAGATACATTGTTGATATAAAGATGGCATATACAGTACATGAGATGTGAGAGATACATGTCTAGTACCTGTTGTTACGTGTTTATCACTGATTATAATGAGAAAGTCTCATCCAGCTCCTCAGAGCTGGGGCGTGTGCCCAAAATACAGCAGGCATTACCCCCTCTGAACAGCTGCACTGAGTCGCTGGAACAGAAAACTAGCTGGCCTGGGATCCCTAGATACCCTGATGAGTCTTTTGCCTAGCTCCTTAAGGAATTCAGATGCACTCTTTACCCATGAGCCAAGGGTCTCTGAGCCTATGGGAACAAACATATAACGATGGGAAAGTTCTCCATATTTTCTAGATTTTTGGAACTCCCTGAAGCTGGCAGCTGCCCCTCCTTCCTCCCTGGTGTATTGGAGATAGGTATCAGCCAAGGTAGATGCACATGTGTAATCCCACACATCACACATCTTGTCATAAAGTTCATTCCATACGTGATCATTAATTAAAAGAATGTAACTGAAATATTTTTGTCTTTTACCACAGTTATTGTATTCGAAAAGGATCAAGAGTATTGTATCATGAAAAATGGAGAGAGGGGACATTGTCTCAGGATTACCTCGTGTCCATATGCTATGGAGTCATTCAGAGTTAATCCTCCAGTTATATGTGGCTTCACTGGAGAAATACCTATGGTCTGCTGCAGCAACTTCACAGGTATATTTATTTAAAATTTTATCTGGAAGTTAAACTTGTTATATTATTATCTTATGATTTATTTCTTCAAATAGTTTCAGTTGCAAAGTTTATAATTAAAGCACTTCCTTCATCTCTTTCTGATATTTTATACATATATTTTTGATTAAAAAAGTCTTAAAAGGGAAACAGAAAACATAGTAGAGAAAAAGAAGAATGATTATTCAAGTGTAAAAATTAAAGTAGTTCGATAACTACATAAAAAACGACAGAAGCACAAAAAATGCAGTCTTTAGAATAAGTTTAAGACCTGCTAGTAACAGATATAGTGAATATGTGAGGGGCAGGAAAAGAAGACTTCAAGAGGAAACTATTACTTGGAGGACCAAAGGGGACGCTCAAGCACCCCTTTTTTTCCCTCAGGATTCATAAAACCTATGATTTAAGTCACTGCCGAATGATTAAAGCAGGTCCTAAAGAGAAAAGCGTTAAGAAACTCGTATATTGGACTCAAAAACATGCTATTTTCTGGGTAACGGAACATTATTGAAAATATTGTCACTTTTTTACCTTTCTGGTCATTCAGTAAGACGCATAATGCGTAGGTTTTGACTCAAAATGCATTTATATACATGTATTACTCCTTAATGCATATCTTGTAAACGAAGAGGTAAAAATGAAAGTTTTCTGAAAATTTACTTATACAATACATTTTGTTCAGGATCACATCCAATACTTTATGGAGATGATGTAGGAATATCAGAAATGACATCTTCACGGCCTCCAGCCTTCGCCATGTTGCAACATTCACCACTCATGCCTCACACCCATATAAGAGAGTTTGTATAACTATGCTCTCATACATTCCCTTCTTTGTTTCCAGGGATAACTTTTTTGTCTCCACGAACTCCTCAGTGCACCACTCACCTTTTTCACCTCAGCTTTCGTAGAACCATCTACTGACACGTCCACTCCCAAATATCTGAATGCATTACCTCCTCCATACTCTCTCTCTCAAATCTGATATCCACTCTTTCATGACCTAATTTGTTTTGTTATATAAAATATATATATATATATATATATAAATATATATATATATATATATATATATATATATAATATATATATATAATATAATATAAAATATAATATATATAAATATATAAAATTATATATATATAAGATATATATATATATATATATATATATATATATATATATATATATATATATATATATATATATATATATATATATATAATATATATATATATATATATATATATATAAATATATATAATATATATATATATATTTTAAATGCAAAACAACCACTCTGAAAGAATAGAGAAATTCCAAGCGCTTTCTTGACTACTCACATTATCAAGGAACTATGAAAGTAAAGCATCCAAGGAAGGTATATAAGGGGTCTGGCTAACACCTCACTATCAGATCCCACAACGGTTAAACACCTGACGTGCGCCGGCCCAACTGGACAGGTCCTTTGCACAACCACCAACAAATTATTCTACCCAAGAAATTTTTTTTAAATTATTATTTGTCCAGTGTATTATTAAATTCTTCCCAAATTCTATTAATTATAAATGGATCTAATTTATATAAAACCCAAAAGGGAAAAATTCATATTATTGTCAAAACTGCTTTTTATGAAACAAGATTCAATTATATTCCTGTCGACCATGGACTTGCTTGATACTACTTTCTCAACTTTTTGAAAATCGATTGGATGGTTAAAATCTCTTACATGAATAAATAGATCATTGGAATCTTGTCCAGTTCTAATGCTATATTTATGTTGTTTTAATCTTAGTTCGAGATTTTTACCAGTTTGACCGTAATAAACTTTATCGCAAATTTTACAAGGAATCTTATAGACACATCCATCAGCATTTTGGGGGGAATTCTTTATCAAAAGTTTTTTTTACTGTATCAAGATTTTTGAATACAACTTTAATATTAAAAGTCTTAAGAAGAGAAGGCATATCAACCAAGTTTTCATGGTAAGGGAGAACCAACATATTTTTAGTTGAATAAGGCTGGTTGTCCCCTTTTTGGATTGTAACAAAGTATTTCTAGCAACTTTAAAAGATTTATCAATTACATTTCTTGGGTATTTTAAATCATTACCTATTTCATAAATTTTGGATATTTCCTCATCTATGAACTCAGGACTACAAATTCGTAAAGCTCCAAAAACATTGATGAGAAAACAGACAGTTTGACTCTATCTTGATGCGAAGAATAATAGTGGACATAGGAACAGTTATTTGTAGGTTTTCTGTAAATTTTAAATTTGAATTCATTATTACCCTTAATAATTAAAACATCTAGAAAAGGCAATGAGTTATTTTCTTCAAACTCAACAGTAAAGTTTATAGAATGGGCTAAGCTATTTAATTTTCCAAGGAAATGGTGTATATCTACATTTTTGGGCATAAGACACAAAATATCATCAACATATCTGAACCATTTAGCTCTATTAGGGAGGATTCTGTTAAGCAATCTTGTTTCAAAAAATTTCATGTATAGGTTACTAAGAACAGGTGAAAGAGGATTTCCCATTGCCATACCAAACTTCTCAGTGTAAAACTTATCATTAAATACAAATTTTGCATCAACAATGCAAAGTTTAATAAGTTTAATGATAGTAGGAACTGGCAATGGTAAATCATAGTTAACGAGTTCTTCAGATAAGAAACTTAATAAATCATCAACAGGAACTTTCGTAAACAAGGAAGTAACATCAAAACTAACCATGTTAAAATCATTTAAGTCAGTCAAGGAGCTTAATTTATCAACTAAGTCTATGCTGTTTTTAACATTAAAGTTAGAAATTTTGCCAACAATAGGGTTCAAAATATCAACAAGCCATTTGGATAATTTATATGAAACTGACCCTATGGAGCTAATAATTGGTCTGACTGGATTCCCTGTATTTAATGATAAATTTTACACTCAGAAGTTTGGTATGGCAATGGGAAATCCTCTTTCACCTGTTCTTAGTAACCTATACATGAAATTTTTTGAAACAAGATTGCTTAACAGAATCCTCCCTAATAGAGCTAAATGGTTCAGATATGTTGATGATATTTTGTGTCTTATGCCCAAAAATGTATATATACACCATTTCCTTGGAAAATTAAATAGCTTAGCCGATTCTATAAACTTTACTGTTGAGTTTGAAGAAAATAACTCATTGCCTTTTCTAGATATTTTAATTATTAAGGGTAAAAATGAATTCAAATTTAAAATTTACAGAAAACCTACAAATAACTGTTCCTATGTCCACTATTATTCTTCGCATCAAGATAGAGTCAAACTGTCTGTTTTCTCATCAATGTTTTTGAGAGCTTTACGAATTTGTAGTCCTGAGTTCATAGATGAGGAAATATCCAAAATTTATGAAATAGGTAATGATTTAAAATACCCAAGAAATGTAATTGATAAATCTTTTAAAGTTGCTAGAAATACTTTTTACAATCCAAAAAGGGACAACCAGCCTTATTCAACTAAAAATATGTTGGTTCTCCCTTACCATGAAAACTTGGTTGATATGCCTTCTCTTCTTAAGACTTTTAATATTAAAGTTGTATTCAAAAATCTTGATACAGTAAAAAAGCTTTTGATAAAGAATTCCCCCCAAAATGCTGATGATGTGTCTACAAGATTCCTTGTAAAATTTGCGATAAAGTTTATTACGGTCAAACTGGTAAAAATCTCGAACTAAAATTAAAACAACATAAATATAGCATTAGAACTGGACAAGATTCCAATGCTCTATTTATTCATGTAAGAGATTTTAACCATCCAATTGATTTTCAAAAAGTTGAGAAAGTAGTATCAAGCAAGTCCATGGTCGACAGGAATATAATTGAATCTTGTTTTCATAAAAAGCAGTTTTGACAATAATATGAATATTTTCTTTGTTTGTATAAATTAGATCCATTTATAATTAATAGAATTGGGAAGAATTTAATAATACACTGGACAAATAATAAATTAAAAATTTTTTCTTGGGTAGAATAGTTTGTTGGTGGTTGTGCAAAGCCTGTCCTTTGGGCCGTGCCTCAGGTGCTTAACCTTTGTGGATCGATAGTGAGGTTTAGCCAGACCCCTTATATACCTTCCTTGGAACTTATACTTTCATAGTTTCCTTGGGTTGGGGAATTTTTGTTTTTGTCAGAGTCAGGCGTCGCTTGTGCAATTTCTGAAATCACCGTTTTTACCTCTTGGATCTTATTTTGCATATTCCTGATATATGTATTATATAAACTTATTATATATATTATTTATAATTTTATGATATATAAATTATATTATATATATATATATATATATATATATATATATATATATAAATATATATATATATATATATATATATATATATATATATATATATATATATATATATATATATATATATATAATATATATAAATATATATATAATATATATATAATATATATAAATATATATAATATATATATATAATATATAATAATAATATATAATTATATATATATATATATATATATATATATATATATAATAATATATATATATATAATATGTATATATATGTAATAAATATATATAATATATATAATATAAATATAATAATAAATATATATAATAATTTTATATATATATATATGTATATAAAATATATATATATATATATATATATATATATATATATATATATATATATATATATATATATATATATAACATAAAAATATATATGTAAAATATACATATATATATATATATTATATATATAATATATATATATATATATATATATATATATATATATATATATATATATATATAATGGGGGCTTTTGATTGAATTTTGTATAAAAAGAAGTTTAGTAATAGGTAATACATATTTTTAGATAAAAAATAAGTAAAAATTAAATGGGATGCAAGGACAATGGGATCAGAAAGAGGGAGATGAAGGTTTATAAATTAAAGGAGGCAGTTAGGGTA